GGGCTGCCGAGAGTGGCCATGAAGGAGTAACGAAGCTACTGTTGGCACGGGGAGATGTTAACCCCGACGGGACTGATAGTTTTGGTGAAACACCACTTTCGCGGTCTGTTAAGAATGGGCGTGAGGGTGTAGTGAAGCTGCTGCTGGCACGAGGAGATGTTAACTCGGGTAAAATGGACAAGTTTGGTGAAACGCCAATCTATTGGGCTGTCGCGCTGGCGCTTGAGGGGATAGTAAAGCTGCTGTTAACTCGGAAAGATGTCGACCCTGACAGATTAGGCCCGCTAAATAGTCAAACACCGCTATGGACAGCTGCCAGGTCCGGGTATGAGGAAATAGTGGGACTTCTGTTAGCACGGAAAGATGTCAATCCCGACAGGCCAGACACACATTATGGCCAAACACCGCTCTCGGTAGCCGCGAAGAACGGGCATGAGGATGTGGTGAAGCTACTTTTAGCACGAACGGATGTCAACCCTGACAGACCAGATACCTGGTATGGACAAACACCGCTCTCATTAGCTGCCGGGAGTGGGCATGAGGGGGTGGTGAGGTTACTCTTCCGGGAAGATATCAACTCCGACAGACCAGACAACTCCGACCGTACACCACTATCGTGGGCTGCCGAAAAAGGGCATGAAAGGGTGGTGAAGCTCCTACTAGCACGGAAAGACGTCAATCCCCACAGACCAGACGCGTACTATGACCAAACACCGCTCTCGTGGGCTGCTAGGAATGGGCATCATCAGGTGGTAAAGCTCCTCCTACCAGCCCATAGAGCCCCAAATCCCGACCTGCTTTAGGGCCCAGGTGGCATCACCCATCTCGAAGTCTTCTAACACATATATGGACCGCTTTTTCGGTTACGATGCGGCATACGCTTTGCCCCTGTTAACATCATCCCCTTCTCCTCCCCCTCCTCCTCTTTTTCCCGCTCTATCTGCTTAGATATCTTTGGTTGCAATTTTTTTTTACTGTGTAGCGTATTGTATTGTATTCTCCTGAGCCGCTATTGCTGTACTTGTTTCTCATGGCTTATACATGCGGCCGCCACCCCGATAGCAAGTAAGGGCCGTGTCACTGTATCATTAATAGTTATAATCGGGTACGGGGAGCGATTGCTCAGTAATGATTGGATGAACGGATGGAAACCAGCTCGACAACGGAGGGCAACTTCGTGTGGTGCGCCCCTGTTTACTCGAGGATGGCGACGGCCAATAGGGCTTGAAATGGTCCTACAATCCCTTGGTTGGTGGGGTTCTTGATGGCATTCCGTAGGCTCTGTATACGTTTTTCCCATTTATCACCTGTCATTCTTTTGTCAGCTCGTCTCCGCCGGTGGTGTCTAAAAACTAATGGTACTTCGCATTCTTCGCAATCGCCACTGCACACATCTTCCCTATGTGCGAGCTTTTCCCCCAGTATCCATATCTAATAGAAGTGGCTGCCCATCCATGTCTTCGTTCTCACTATAGACTGCAATCTGTCCGAGTCCCATCCCCTATAACGTATCGTGTGGCGCGGCTGTCCTACGCTTCCGTCTATAAAAAAGAAAAGAAAAAGAATAGAAAAACCCCCTCCGAAAGGGTCTGGATATATAAGCCCCCGTCGCTCAACATATTTACTAACCATCCTGCATCCATCGCCTGAATTACCCACAGCGAACACAGTAATGGTGTATTAGTATAGCATCTTCAACTGCGACGAGAGACCCCAGGGCATAAACCGCAAGGCAGGTTTCCGGTATTTCCCACCGCTTCCCCGGCGCATGATTATGCACTCCCTTACTGTAGCATAATGGTCCATCACCGCAAGCGCGGCACAGATGTGCCGCAAGTTAGCAGGATTCGGGCCGAAAAAAACAAAAAAAACAAGAAATCTATTATCACACTCTTGTTTGATCCAGTCGTTTAATCTTAAGATGCAACCTTTTCCTTACTGTACTGTACCGTGTGGGGTGCAGAAACAAGTGTCGTAGCAAAGCGCCTTGGATCAACGGGTGTTTTTTTTTTATTCATTCGTGGCTATAACCCAAGTAACCATTTCTAACCGTGACTGATAATAGTGTGCGGCACGGTTCTTCCTGGTCGGGTATGATATGATATGATATGATACGATACTCGCATGGCGATTTCGATTCGACCTTGGGTATCTTGTTCCAAAACTCCATGTTCCCGTTTTTGAACCCACCAGTCGGATCTATTAATTAGCCACTCTCTGAGATTATGCTTGTAATGTCGGGTGAACTGGTAGAACTCATTCTCAGCAAAAAAAACAAAACAAGACTTTAATCTGTTCTAATCATTAATTCCCTCTCCGTACTGCACCCTAGTATTGAGATGATAATGTGTCCCAGGGACTATCTGGTCGTTGTTGAGAACGAGTGCTTGGAGTTATTAACCAAGACTCCGATACGGAAATTCTTATTGTCGATTAGACCCAACCAAAACGTGTGACGCCCGTAGACGCACTTTTATTGTTTTCGAGCCATCATCGCTCGTCACTCGGTTCTTGCGGTGCGAATTAATTCCCTGATAACACGAAAGGGCCTCCGAATCGGCTCGGCTCCAATCGTATAGCACGCTGGCGGCACCCTCGAAGGGCCCGATCATTGTGAGGACCGTTTCGAATGGGCTGTTCCCAATGTTCAGAATTCAGCGGACACGAAAAATCCGAAGTCCCCCCCCTCCAAATTTTATGTTTGTTTTGTTCCTTCCTTTTGGAAACGGTATGAGTGTAATTCGAAGTAGGTTGCCCTCACGGCTATGGAGTAACTTTGCTGAGGTGTTCTCCTAATTTTGTTCTACTATGATACCTCTCTCTCCGATCCAATTCAATTCGTGGCTTGTCCCGTTTTGCCCATTTTGTTTATCCTAGGTCTTCCTGGCCGAAGACCGTGCTGAAACGTTAGTTATCAGTCCTTAAGAGCAGAGGGTTTGCCTAGCTTAATATTCCGAGGGGAACACCCAATTCTGGCTCGAGGTTTGTATTACTATGTTCCCCAATTTCCCATTTGTTCCCTTACTTACTATTGTCCTCGCTGAGATATTAGTGAGAGGCTTGCCTAGGATGAATACTGGGAGGGTTTTTATGGCAACGGGGATGGTATAGTGGGCGTGTTCTCCATGTTCCAGCACCTCCTTCGGCCCCCCGTACAGCACACTCCCAACTCTCCTAGCTTCGCCTTACCTTGGGATCCAGGCTGAACCACGGATGATGACCGATGGCTAACAGTGATTCGGAGCCCAATACCTTGGGGACATATACCATCTCTGGAAGCGGGCTTATGACCATTACTACGCTGAATGAATAAAGGCCTAAGGAGGCGAGAGAGCAGGGCCCGGGACGGCCGCTCCGATGTGGATTTGCCATTCGGAGCGGCCGTTGAACGTGGATGAATTATGTCATGCTTCCTCGCAATCTAAAATTAGATCATCAGACCTCAATACTGACAATATTCCTGCAATATCAACATTGTTAGGATGTTGTCGGGGACTGATTGCCCTGGGTCAGGAGGCTTCCTATGTCCGCTTGATCCACTTCACCCTCAAAGAACATCTTTTCATCTTAGTTACGCAGACCTCTTTGTTGGAGCTCACGCGGCAATGGCGGAAACCTGCTTGACATATCTAAATTTCCAAGATGTCAATAATCCTCCGCAAACAATCACTGACGGCTTACAAGGTATGCCGTTTCTCGGCTATTCGTCCGTATGCCGGGGAATACACGCGAAATGCAAATTCTCGGATCATGCAAAGTCACTTGCTATGGTCCCTCCATGGCCGGTTGGATGAACACATACCTACTAGATTTCTTTTAAAGCACGGAACGAATGATCCCTATAGTTTCAGCAATATAAAGAGTCCTTCCGTGTTCACTGTTCTGCATTGTGCATGCTTCTCGGGAGTGTTGAGCTAGTGAGTGCTTTGATAGAGAGGGGAGGTTATGATATCAACTAGAGAGACTTTGTGGGTGTTACACCACTCATCTGGACTGCCGAGAACGGGGGAGGCAGAGCAGTAAAGTTACTGTTGGCACGTGGAGATGTCGATCCCGACAAACGAGACACATGGTATGGCCAAACACTACTCCCCTAAGCCACGAGAATCGCCACGAAGGGGTGGTGAAGCTACTACAAGCCCCCCGCACTCTTTAGACTGCGAAGATCTCCCGGCGCTCTTCCTCTTGTGTTTGAGAGTGGGGGAGTCGTGCTTGGTGACGCCTTATCGGGTCTGTGTGGGTCGGTGAATGAATAGAAAGTTTCTCGGAGCAGGATGAGGAGGAAGGGCGCCGGCAAATATGTCTTGAATGTTTTCGTTTTGTTCCCTCTACCCGGCCGGCTCTTCTCTTATGTACTGCCTTATGATACTCTATTCCCCCCCGGGCTTGTGTTGATTGTTGGTTAGGTTACGGATGGGTATCTCATCCTTCGGTTTATGCCTAAGTTAATGTCTAATATTCGAAACCTACCGGTAGTCGTGGTGGCACTTTCTGCTACAGTGCAGTATATCCGATGGCTGCCGCACAGTACGAGCGCCGGTACCGCACAATGTTGTAAACATTCCGGGTCTGTTTACCTGACCGGAAAAAAGGTACGGTAATGCCGTTGAAACTAGCAAGCAAGCGAGCAATTTAAGTAAGCAGGAACGCCCTAACGAAACGCCCTAACGAACCAGGCGCACCGACGATATCTCCGTAGATATGCCCCCAAACTCCACTCCACACCCAAACATCTCCCGTAAACTCTCCTCCGAATACATAGGGGTCACCTAGACGGCCGGCACCGCACCGTGCTATATCTCGCTTGAACCATCGATTCACCGCTATCATGAAATACACGAATCAGCAGGCAAAGCTACAGAAGGGGTCTTGGGGACTCCATTTGTCGGTGTCGTTGTGGCAAGTGCAATATCTGTTTTCTCAGTGAGGTGGTACGAAGGCAGACTCTAGAGTGCCCGCATCACAACATCTTGGCAGCCTCATCCCAATGTTTGTTCCCCGGCGCGAACCCAACCTCCTGCGACCACTATTGGTGAATTTCCCCACACTATCTCCTGAAAAATCTCTATCTGGTCTTCGTATCCTTCGCCCTAGAAGCCAACATACAGATCTTAAACCCCATGCAGGACCTGTTTCCCTCTCGCTCCTTCTGGGTTATGTGGTCGTTGATCCTCAAGAAGGTCTTCCTTTCGTTCAGAACCCTCAGCCATGCCAGAGAAGCCCGCCGGGAACGTTGGCGAGCCCAAATTCGCGTAGTGACCCTCTCCGCCACCGCGCGACTGGAAGGATAGCTAACGGGGCAATAGCGATTAGGGCCCTATGGTCTCCCAAAGTTCTTCTACCCGGCCCTCCTTCCCCTGAACCAAACCCTCACCATTCTCGAAACCAACGTGCTCTGCGCTAGCGAGCACGACGCAATGAAGTACCGCAAACGCCGTATGGCAGAGTGCAACACGACCGGCCTCACCGCCGCACTTGTCGCGCAGGTGACAATCACCACGATGCAGCTGGAGTATATCCCTACCATACACTGGACCGTACCAGCGCTACTCACAAGCACTCTCGTGTTCGCCCTGTTATCCGTGTACTATTCCTTCCTGCTATACCAATACTTGGATGGGTTCTTGTCTGCAGAGGATATGAAGAAGGCCTTCTCACACCGAGGCATCCTGCCGTTCCTTATCGTGGATGAAGGTGAGACACTACCAAGCCTTACGGCCGCGATAAAGCTCTGGGCGCCGACGTATCTGCTCGGGCTGGCTATTTCGTGCTATATCGCAACCATAGGCGTGTATTGGGGTGTTGCTTGGGGTATGAACTTGCAGGAGAGGGGCGTGGGTAGCCGGAATGTCAGTCCAGATCTTTTCATATACCGGCAATACTTACCGGTACTTGAGTATTTCGGGCTAATGATGTATTGTGCAGGTCTTTATAGTCTTCCTCATAACAGCGTCACTGTCGATATGTTTGTTCGCAGTACCCAACACTCTCGGGAAAATAGAGGAAGACATTGTCGATTATCGGGAGAAGCGTGAACTGAATTCCCAGTTCACAAACCACGACCACGACATAGCTAGCTCTCTAGCCCTGGTCCCCGTCACTGGGGGCGAAGGGGGTAATGGGTCAACGGAGACATCCAATACTAGTTCAAGTTTGTTGGCCTCGATTTGTTACTTCAGATCCTGCGTGACGCGACTAACCTCAAAGTAGCAGTGCGGGGGCCGCGCACAGCAATGGCAGTGGACGTGGAGACAAGGAGTGATGTGAATACGTACGAGGGAGGCGATACGAGTAGTCGTTGACTAATGGAAGCGGACTCGATATAAGTAAGCGGGAGTGGTTAATGCCGGGCTGCAATGGCAACAAGAAAGGAAGTAATTTACGGTACTCGGGTACATTACGGTAATGCAGATAACGTACTGTATTGGGCTGCCAGTGGGAAGCGGGTCAGACGGAGATTAAAAAAAAATGCACCAAAAATGTCGAAATCCGGAAATCCCGACCAATGTTCTAATAGTAGAAGGAGGAAATTCAGTACAGTACGGGTAGGAGTCGGACACAGCGTCTTGGATCCTCTACTTTTTATGCCGCATTTGGGGTTTTATTCTAGTGAGGGGCTGGCAGCGAGTTTCCGGGGAGGGATCGCAAAAAATAATTCACCCCTTCCGATTAGCTCTGATATCATAATATTAAAAAAAGAAAATATAAAATTAAAGTGACTCGACAAACAAATCTTCAATTGACGGGAGATAAACTCAGTTCTCAAAAGTATTGTCCCATACCCTGTTCCCCCGCAAAAGTCTGTATATCCATTAGCTGAAAAAATAATAAAAGAAAATTATCTAAAATTATTCAAAATTGTTAAAAGTAGGTATTTAAAAGGAAAATAATTTTATGATTTTTATTTATTCTATTTGTTTCACAAAGCTGGTATTTATTTTTATCTGATTGTTAATACAGAATGCCAAGCCCCCATATAAATCTGGCCAACTTTGGTGGAGATTTGCTTTTCATCATACCATACTTGGATAAATCCAGGTGCAGATCATGCAAATATCAAATGTTTACTATTTTAATTAGATGATGAAATAAACCTTATAAAAGGTAACTTATATAGATTTTCCATATTTTTTTTCCTCCAATATTTTATTATATAGAAATGGGCTAAGTTAAAGTACT